AAGATGAAAGTGGTTGTAATATGTATGTATTTATGAGTTAATAAGGGTAATTAAGCAATTAAACAATCTAGTTACATCCACTCAATGTAAACTAAAGATGAAAGTGGTTGTAATATGTATGTATTTATGAGTTAATAAGGGTAATTAAACAATTAAACAATCTAGTTACATCCACTCGATGTAAACTAAAGATGAAAGTGGTTGTAATATGTATGTATTTATGAGTTAATAAGGGTAATTAAACAATTAAACAATCTAGTTACATCCACTCAATGTAAACTAAAGATGAAAGTGGTTGTAATATGTATGTATTGATGAGTTACTAAGGGTAATTAAACAATTAACCAATCTAGCTACATCCACTCAATGTAAACTAAAGATGAAAGTGGTTGTAATATGTATGTATTTATGAGTTACTAAGAGTAATTAAACAATCTAGTTACATCCACTCGATGTAAACTAATGAAGAAAGTGGTTGTAATATGTATATATTTATGAGTTACTAAGGGTAATTAAACAATTTTTGTTATTTTACCATGTATCAGTTTGTCATTACAATAAAAAAAGTCTACTTAAGCTGTTGTCATTTGGCACACATTATAAAATGTATATTAAATCTGGTTACATTGAGAACAGTAATAGTTTTGTTACGAAAGACACCTCAAAATACCTGGACTAAGAGGAAGAATATTGTTATTCATTTGCCACGTCAGTTTTGGTGCTGGATGACCCGTTACTTCACAAGGGAGATTAACTGATTGGTTAATCAAGACCTTAGTGATGGATGGTTCAGGAATAATTGATGGTGGAACTGAAAAACAACAAAAACTAATTTTACAACTGTCACGATTTTTATGATTATTTTTATGTAAATATTCTTTTTCTTCAAATAACTAACTGACTTACAGAATTTCAGTAGAGATTATCAATATTTATATTTTTTTACATTGGCAGGTGAGAATGAATTTCGCATAAATTCCAAAGAGAAAACATTAAATTGTTACTTATATTCAGTGCTGGTTACCTTAGCATCTGGAATAGTTCACTACAATATCTCAATTAAGTAGAATTACTTAAGGTAGATTACATTAACAATTAACTAATAATATCTAGGGTAGATTACACTAACACTTAGTTAACTAATAACATCTACGGTAGATTACACTAACATCAGTTAACTAATAACGTGTAGGGTAGATTACACTAACATTCAGTTAACTAATAATGTGTAGGGTAGATTACACTAACACTCAGTTAACTAATAATATCTAGGGTAGATTACACTAACATTCAGTTTACTAATAATATCTAGGGTAGATTACACTAACACTCAGTTTACTAATAATATCTAGGGTAGATTACACTAACACTCAGTTTACTAATAATATCTAGGGTAGATTACACTAACACTCAGTTTACTAATAATATCTAGGGTAGATTACAGTGTAATCTACCCTAGATATTATTAGTTAACTGAGTGTTAGTAACATTCAGTTAACCCAATATCTTGGGTAAATTACACTAACATTCAGTTAACTAATAATATCTAGGGTAGATTACACTAACATTCAGTTAACTAATAACATCTAGGGTAGATTACACTAACATTCAGTTAACTAATATCTAGGGTAGATTACACTAACACTCAGTTAACTAATAATATCTAGGGTAGATTACACTAACACTCAGTTAACTAATAATATCTAGGGTA